GGGTCACAGGTAGTAATGGTAGGAGGTAGTTACCATAATGGTATATGGTATTAAGTATTAAGAAACATTATTATGGTCATATACGGTGTTATATTTAGGATATCTCAGGTGGTAAGTTAATGTAGGCGATGGTAATGGTATATATGGTGGTAGCAATGTGCTCAGTAAAGCAAATGTAGGCATATTTACATTGTAAAAATAAGGTATTATGTGTTATGCTATGAATGTACTTGTATAACAAGGTAACACATCAAAGCAATAATGATATTCATGAACAAATGGTGGTCATCAGGATAGAAATTTCTATAAAGTTTTATCCTCTCCTCTTCAATTATTGTCCACTTAGCCGGATACAATATGGAATAGATGTGAAGAGCACTGCATTCAGTGGTTGGTTAGACTATATCCCAAATCCATAATATCCTGAGGTATACGGAAACCACATGGAGGTGTGGCTGGTAGTTGCATGCTTGCTGCACTGTTTAAGGGGTGGATATATTGTACGATGTCTTCTTTTGCTCCTTCTACAAAGAGAAGCAGGACTGAAAATGGCATGGAGTGGAAAGATTCAGATGAATTTTTTCCAGGTCAGATTATACTGAATTAATTGGCGGGTTGTAATGTGTAACTCTAGGTATACCCGTGATACCATACTCTCCTGATGCTAGCCCTGATAATGTTCTTTGCTTTCGTCATTACAATCCAACTCAAGTACTACCAGATGCTATTATTAAAACTGTACTCTAAAGTCTTCATTAGGTTGTTATGGGAAGGTCTATGGCCGACTGGTTGCGTTTCTCAGCTTGCTTTTGGCACAGCTTTAGGGGAACCGGTACATAAATGCTTATTACTAAAATATTTAATTATTAATTAATAGGGGCAGACCCATTCGGGTTTCCCACTATCAATAGACCGTGGGATGATGGAACTGATACTATTGAAAATGCCAAGAGAAGATTGAGAGCTGGTTTTGAGTTCTTTACTAAAATGGGTTTGAAGTATTGGACATTCCATGACAGGTATATAACACTTTGTTGTAATTAATGTTCATAATTGGTAGGGATATTGCTCCAATGGGGGACACTCTTGAACAAACTAATAAGAACCTTGATGAGATGACCGACTTAGCCCTTGAGCTGCAGAATAAAACTGGAGTTAAACTTTTATGGGCAACGTGTAACCTCTTTGCTCACCCAATGTACTCCAATGGAGCGAGCACCAGTCCTGACGCACACGTATTTGCAATGGCAGGAGCTCAAGTGAAGAAAGGATTAGAAGTAGCCAAGAAACTAGGAGCCGAGGGATTTGGTGAGTTAATATTTTATTATAATAATTGTGAATATTATAATTAGTATTTTGGGGTGGGCGTGAGGGGTATCAGACCTTACTTAATACTGATGTCAGGAGGGAGCTGGATCACATGGGAGCATTTTTCAAAATGGTTGTCGGTAAGGTATTGATATTATTATTATTATTATTATTACTTATTCACTGACAGCTTACAAGAAGAAGATAGGATTCACTGGCCAATTGCTTATTGAGCCAAAACCAAAAGAGCCAACTAAACATCAATATGACTACGGTATGGTCCTCGATACATGCACCACTGGTGTTAGAGTCACCCTGATAAAGAGATTTACATGTATATCTGTCCTTTACAGATGCACAAACTGTCATCTCTTTCTTAAAGACGTATGGCCTTGATACAGATTTCAAGGTATTGAGTATACGAAGTCATTATTATTGATTATTATTTATTAGTTAAACATTGAGCCCAATCATACTACACTAGCAGGACATGGTCATGAACACGATGTAGTGGTAGCTTCAAAGTAAAAAAGAATAAAATGAAATGAAATGAATAATAATGTATCCCATACAGGTTTGGTATGCTTGGCTCCATTGACTCCAATACAGGATCGCCTGATCTGGGATGGGACACTGATCAGTTCCCAATGGAAATTAAGAACACTACTTTAATAATGAAGGTATTGGAATTAGTAACAATTTTTAATAATCTTCTTGTTTAGGCTATTATTGAGCAGGGCGGACTGGCCCCAGGGGGTCTTAATTTTGATTGTAAAGTTCGTAGAGAATCGATTGATCTTCAAGATCTATTTATAGCTCATATTGGTTAGTAAACTGTTATTAATTAATTAATGTTATTTATTAATTGTTAGGTGCTATGGATAGTTTTGCTCGTGGTTTGATGTGTGCTGTGGAGTTGTTTAATCAAGGTGTGATGGAGAAATGTGTCAAGGTATAACTAATGATCATCATCTATTATTAATGTCTGGATATGCAGGATCGATATTCCAGTTATGATAGTGGAATAGGATCAAGTATTGAAAATGGTAAAGCAAGTCTTGAGCAGTTGGAGGTAAATGCTATTATTATTACAAATAGTTAATGACATGATAAACTACAGGAATACATCAAAGCCAATGGATTCCCTACACCAACTTCTGGACAGCAGGAGATGTATGAGGTGTTGTTTAACAACGCCTTGAAATATTGACCTGCTGGTACTACTAAAACTGACTGTTAGCCATTTTGCTGCTTTTGTTGATTATTAATAGTTTCCTTTGATAACTAAAATGAACTACTCTACAACTGCAATGTTCAGTCAATAGCAATAACACTGAGAGTGTGTGTGTGTGTCACAATAATAATAATATTAACTGAAAGTTAAAAACATCACATGTACTGTCCTAAAGGACAGCCATTGCCATTTTAGCTCCACCCACTTTACCAACCAGCCCTCCTCCTCCTCCTGCTCCCTCGGGTACTCGTGATTTTGTGGTCTTAGTGAAAGCAGCAGTCTTCTTGCTGGTACTTACATTGTAGCACTTCCAAATGAAGACAATGGTTCCAAACCCAATCAATAGGAACAGGTAAATGTACAGGAGGATCACATATACAATGACATTCCGACACACCTTCTTGCTGCTCAAGTCACTGCTCATGTCATGAAACAATACAGTACCAATAACCAACCAGCCTCCATAGAGCAGCATTAACACAGCAACAGGGATGATTGTTATACCAGCTGCTATCTTAACGGCCTTTGGTAGCTCACAGAAGCACCCACAGCAGACACAGCAACTCATAATGACGGCAATTACCAGGAGCAGGACAATGACACCAGTGTACTGATCGTAGGAGAGGAGCTCAGTATAGGTACAGGTGATACTTGATCATGACTTACTTTCAAGTAATTGTCATAAGATATTTTTAAACTAGTATCCTCACTGCAAAAACCATCGGGTTGACCTTTCTCTGGCTCAGCAGCAGAAGCTAAAAGAAACAAACGAACATGAAAAGTAAAGAACATGTCAACAGTAACACTAACATAGTCCAGCCCCAGCTAAATAGAGTATCAGTGTGGCTACTGTTATGATAATAGCACCTAAAATGAACTTCATTAATAATAAGTAGGAGGAGGAGTTAATTACTGTAACAAACAGCAGAGCCGAGAGGAGAGAAACGACAATAAGAACAACATTTAGCACAACCAGCCTCCACCTTACCACCTACACTGTCTGTCTCTACAGAATAAAGACCAATCTAAGGGGAAGGGACAATAATAACAACACTTACGTCTCCTTCTACCTGGCATCTTGTTTTCTAAAGGAAATGCCAAAGGGCCAGTGTGTGGGTGGTGGGACGAGCAATCATCATTAACCACACCTACCAGCTGAGTCTGCACTCTGCAGTCAGCAAAAGACATACTAAATCACCTGATCCACAGATAGACCCGAGAGACCTGTAGGCTATAGGAATAGGAATGGATGAAATAAAGGAGATTATAGACTACAAACCTTCCCCATTGATAGTGAATGATGACCCAAGGAAAGGAGGAAAGAGTAAGAACATATCAAGTCCTCAGCCATTGCACTAACCCTCTCCAGCTGTTAGACTCGGATACAATACTTGCTACATTGTGGCTGGACTGCTGGTAGCGGATGGTAAAGTATTATTAATACAAGAAGCTAAGAGGTCCTGTAGAGGAAAGTGGTACCTGCCAGCTGGTAGAGTGGAACAGAATGAATCACTGGAGGTGAGTCAGTCATTACTAGTCATTGTGGAGGTGGACCATTCATCTTCTATTGATAGGAGGCAGTTAGGAGGGAAGTCAAGGAAGAGTCTGGCTATGACTTTGAACCAGTTTCAATTATTGGAATTGAAACAAATTCCTTCCAATGGATCAGGTTTACTTTTGCCGGTTAGTATTAATGAATCAAACACACCCACTTATGGCCGGACCTACGTAGGACGTATCACAGGTGGTAAACTAAAGACTCCTCAAGAAGAAGACAAGGAGTCAATACAGGGACAATGGATACCAATAGATGGATTGGACTCCATTGATTTGAGGTCAATGGATTGCATGAATGTCATAAAACTAGCGGAGTCATGGTATACTGAGGCAGGCCTGAAGTACTCCCATTTAGCAATACCTGCATCAAATGAGATGACCACAATGAGAGCTGTTGTATTACACAGAAACAAGTAAGTGCAGTACAATCATGTTCATGAAATCCTGTATACCATTAATTATGTATAGTGGAGAAGTTAATGTGTTGCTAAGAGATGTTGCTACTGGTAGCACTAAACTACCTTCCAGCCCCTTGAGCTCTCCTTCAGTGAGACATGACATTGAAAGATTAATGAAGGTAAGCAGAGACAAGAGGACACATATTAGTAACACTCTCTCTCGCTATAGTCCACTGGTTGTACTGGCCCGTATGTAACAGCTGGTGTTTATTCAATTGAACATTTAGTGTCGAGTGGGGACGGAATTGGATTCACTTTATTAATAGAGGCACAGGAACCTGGGCTTAGAAGTGGGTGTGGCTTTCATTGGGAGACAATGAGGGATAAGGATCTACTGGACAAAATGAATACATTACTGACCAATAAGATATCTTTAATAAAACTGTTTGACTATTAAATTTATTATTACAACGATAAGTGTTTAAATTTTTATATAAATTATATTAGTTCTGAATTATCCAATATTTATGATGAAGTGCTGTTTGTGTTAAATAAATAATTACTGTTAGCCTTGGAAACTGTAGCACTCTTTACAGGCGGAGGCAGTTGCCGTGGCAACAAGTGTTTACAGAATAATAGAAAGCAATGGGCCCAAGAATATTGTGCTGACTCAACAGATAATAATGATCTTGAACGAACTAGTTAATAATAATTAATAATCATCAATCAGTTATTAGTAGTACTTACCAGTAGCAGCAGTGGTGCTGATATCTGAAGACAATGATACTTTAGTATAAGGCAATAGGTTAGCAAATAATATACCAAAACAAAGCACTATAACCTAACAATAATAATAATAATAATAACAATTATTATTATTATTATTATTATTATTATTGTTATTATTATTATGTTACCAGTAAACAGCTGCCAAATTGTCCTCTCAGTTCTCTTTGGTTGGTTGCCCTGGTAACAAGTGCTTGTAGCTGTACCAGTTGCTGTCTGAGGCTCTTGTTCTCAGTTTCCAGTGAACTAACCTTCTTCAACAACCTCTTGTTATCACTGCTACAAGACTTGAGCCTAAGGACAGATACACCAATAATACACAGTAGATATACTAATAGTATACAGTAGATATACTAATAGTATACTAATAATACCTTTCTTCTAACGTTTCCATGTATTTCTTTCTCTTGTTTCTGCTCTCTTGGGCAGCAACCTTTAACATTAATTAATTAATGTTTAACTCATTAATAATAATTTATTACTTTATTCCTAATCTTCCTCCTCACAGTCTTTAGAGCTTTCTCTTCAGTCTAAATTGAATAGTTAATTAATGGATTAATGGGTTCCATACTTTGGTCAGAGGTAGTGTAGTTGGTATGGGTAATCCTTCAGATGTTAAAGTTTGTTTCTCTTCTTCAGTTAAATTGACCTCATCGTGTTTACTCATGAAATACTGCAAGGAAGAAAGGGTGTGGGTCAAGAGGCATGGTCAGGGGGTGTGGTTACTTTAATTCTCTCATCAATGAGTTTAACAGGATCAATACTGAATGGAGTCTCCTCCTTATTGCTAGGACTTGCATGAGGACTCAACTTACTGCCAGGAGACGAAGACATTGTGTCGTAACCTAGGCAACCATTATTAATTAACTATTGATTAATTCATCCATTACCTCCATCAGAACTACTCTCCTCATTATCAGCCTTCATCAGTAGGTCCGCTGGTGACTCCGCCCCTTGACCTGTCCCTTCCTTCTTACAGTACGAATGGTCATGAAGTACATTAGATATAACTTCATTCCGTTCCAATTCTTCAGTAGTTTCATTCCGTTCCAATTCTTGAGTAGTTTGATTCCATTCCAATTCTTGAGTCTGAGTGTTGTCAGTTGTGGGTAGGTCCATAGAGTCCCAATGGAGAGGAAGAGGTGAGGCCAGATCATTCAAACCATAAAACAGAGTCTCATCCCCCAGCAGATAAGAAAGTAATCCATCCAACTCTTCATCATTTCCAGGCAGTAGAGTCCCACCATTCTCTGTACCAGCCTCCATTGAACAGAAACTACTCAGTATAACTAACACTGAATGATGACAAAGACTGAATGGTACACGTAGTCTGAAATGACACGTACACTGTCAGTGAGGCCACTCCCTTAATGAGGGAGTGGTTATATCTTGGCCCCTCCCACCAGCCAATATGGCTACTGCTGCTGCTCCTGCTCTTTCAGTTCCACTGAAGTGGATATGTGTTAGCTGTATCCCTGAGGTCATTCTACAGGGACTCTATACCACGTACCCTGTACTGGTCTCTTCGATGCTCATCAGGTGTATTGTTAGTCTGGTACCAGCTCGCCATAGCTATTATGATGCCATAGCTACAGTCCTTGGGTTATGGACCCTGTGGTGGTACTATGGATACAGTACAGGGTATTTCTTGATATTATTGATACTGGTGTATCTACTGGTCACTGTGGGGTCCGTCGGTAAGAGAGGTATTCTGGTGGGTGGAGTTTGTATGGTATTCATTATAATGTGGTAAGTTTGATTATTAATGAAATAATAATAGTTATTATTATTATTATTTAGTGAGTTATTAATTGTCAGTTCAGCTGAATGGCACAAAGTGAGAGGTAACCGCCTCCCATTACCTTTATAATGGGTACGTGTTGTGTTCACATTGAATAGGATCATTTCTTGTAATGTCAATGAAACTGGTATCGTTGGCCTATGATATTGATACCAACATTAACACTGCAGGGAGGGATCATAGGGGAGGAGGAGGAGGAGTTCCTTCAGTCATTAGTTATGTGTCTTATGCAGTATTTCCTGCTACAACTGTCTTTGGACCATTTGTTACATTCAATGATCACCTTCAGTATACTAATGGGACTCCACTGGTTAGTCTACGGTACTCCCGGCCCTGCTTTATTAGTTATTGTTATTTCTAGTCTTTGGGTTGGATCTTTTGTGCTGTCAGATCTTTGTCAATGTCACTGCTCACACTCTCACTCTCAATGTGTCTGTTTCCTTTCCTGTTTGAGGAACCATTTTGGAACAAGTATCCATAACTATTTAAAATTATTATTATTATCTTTATCAGGTGGTTTGCAGCATATTCTGCAGCTGCTTCTTTCAGATATAGTCATTATTTCATTTCCTTTCTGTCAGAGGCTACAGCTATTCTCTCGGGTATTGGATATAAAATAGAGCCAGCTGGAACCATCACTTGGTCAAAGTTTAGAGTAACATATCCACTGGATGTGGAGGTCCCTCGCTCACTGGGCTCTCTCGTTAACTCATGGAACATTCCTATGCATGTATTCCTTAAGAACTGTACGTTAGTTCTCATACTATTCTTACAATAACAGCTTGTGTGTGTGTGTGTGTGTGTGTGTGTGTGTGTGTGTGTGTGTGTGTGTGTGTGTGTGTGTGTGTGTGTGTGTGTGTGTGTGTGTGTGTGTGTGTGTGTGTGTGTGTGTGTGTGTGTGTGTGTGTATCTGTAGATGTATTCAAACCAGTTCTCATTCGGTTGAACTATGGAGGAGCATTCTTCTTTACATTTCTCACAAGTGCAATGTTACATGTTAGTTGTATTGTAAATATTACTATTGTATGGAAAATTAGCAAAATAACAACTTTTCTCTTTTAAATTTTGGCAAATTTGACCCAAGACCCTGTACTCCAACAGTACAGGGTCTTTTGTCTGATTTTGGAGCAACTTTTAAAAATCATAAAAAATCCAAACTTGATCGGAATCCACTCAAACTTTCTACACAACATAAATACATGTAAATTTGTATATCATATTGTATTTCCATTGTATTAGGGTCTTAATTTCCAGCTAGCAGCTGTGTTACTATCAATAGCTTTATATGCTTATACTGAAAACAGTCAGTACTAGTTCATTATATTAACTGGCTCCATTGACTTATTGAATTGTAGAGTTTAGATATAAACTAAGCAAGTTACTTGATGCATGTGTAAAGGACAGACCTTGCAGTCATAACTGTTCTCATAAACACAAATCAGTGAGTACATGTAACTGCCTATACACCTGCAGTATCAGTATCTGTCTGTATCATCATTAGAGTGTTCCGTGGGTCTTTGTCATTAATGTACTGATGACTTCACTCACAATATTTCATTTGTGTTACCTTGGGGTCATGTTTGGAGGGGATTCTGAAGAAAATGTCTCATCAATTGAAGTATATGCATTTATTATTATTATCATTATTATTGCAATCTTTTATAGGGATATTCAATGATCCATACCTTGAGACATTGGCACAATTTAGGATTCTTAAGTCATTATGTTACATTTCTAACTCTTGCCATCTCTTTCATACTTTGAACCATCTCCTTCATGATTCATCATTTCAACATTCCATTATCAATTCATTTTGTCACAAAAATTACTAAAAATTAGCCAATGATATAAAGACTGCTAGCGTTTGGATAATGAATAGAATTGTTTTATGTCTTGAGCTTTTTGCAATATTCTCTGCATGTCATCAATTGGGTAGTTCTGTTAATTAATTAATCAATTAATCAAGTCTTTAATTAATTACCTGGAGTAGCTTTATTGTCACTGAAAAATCAGCCGCAAGTATATCTGTCCTAATGCATCTAATAAACATAACCATGACAACAGTCAATGAATAATAATGAGCTCATACATTATCATGGCAGTGCAAACGTAAATTAGAAAATCAAATCTTTCACTATCTGAGAATAATGAATCCCACAATCTAATAACATCTGACAACAACAACAATAATAATGATGATGATCATGATAGTGCAGTACCTGGTAATAAGAACTCTTGAGATAGGAGCAATGTAATCCAACGAAAACCAAAGAATGCTGGATCTATCTCTTTATCAATCTGAGAATATTAAAATTAGCGATAATACTAACAACTAATTACTAGATTCTTGTGTATCTCTGTATCTCTGTCTTTTAATAAAGTCATCAATCTGTTCATGGAGCCACCTTTTAATGTCCAATAATGCATATATAATCAGTATAATGTTCTACTGACCAATCCCTGCCCTGGACCTGTCTAGCTTCTTAGTGAAATTGTCTCCAATTTCAACCATCAGGTTTGAAAAACAAAAGAATGTATCAGCTTCTGCATGTTCTGATAATACATTAAATAAATAAATAAATAAACAACAAAATAAACAAACCTTTCCACAGTGAGTCCGGATGCTGTGCAAATATGTAATAAATTGGACCAATTATTTCATTCATGCCCTAACAATTAATATTAATAAATAAACATTAATTAATTAAGTTAATTATACCTGTACGTATCCAATCCCTTTGTTCATTTTAGCATAAATAAATAAAATCCTTTCCACGACCTACAAGTAGGTATGATAATGAATTAATAGAGACTCCACCCACCTCCCAGTGCCCCTCCTCCCCTTCCTTCAATGGGCTGAACGGCTCCTCTTCATTCTTCTTTATTTTGACCTTCCTCACTCCATACCTTGAGGACTCTACTTTCTGTGACGGTAGAGAACTGTGACTGACACGCTCTTTTAAAGCCTCAATACCAAGCACTACGCCTACACAATGTATTAATGTATTAATACATTAATTAATATTATTAATACATTAATTAATATACCGGTATTAAAGGCTTTTCTTGGATACATAGTTGGCAATTGAAAGAATGATATTTCAGGATAGAGTCTTCTCGTGTCGTGGTCTATTTGTAATAAAATGTCGTTATCTTCAAAATATTTGTGCCATTGACTGTCCGGATTCGGATTAAGAGGCTAATAAATAAATTAATAAATAATTAATTAATTAACATTCATCTCACATGATCAACTGCTTCAGTTTGATCCTCTTCCTTATAAGGATTGATGATTACATCATTCATTAGTCTGTGATACGAGGACCTGTACCAGTCACATGATAGTCACATGATCATTAGTCACTCTACAGTGATTACCTCTGTCTTCTTAATTCCTCTTCCCAGTACTTTCTCTTAACTGGTAAATACCCCAACAATATCTGAATCATCATCATCATCATCATCACCATCATCATTACTATGTTACCTTCCAGCATGTAGCTCTAATTCCTTCTTTATCAGTACAACCTAAAGCAGAGACACATTGGTGCATGCCTACAACATGTTGGTACTTGCTTACCATAGAAACAAAGTCTTCTTAATTCTTCAATGTCTATTTCTTCTTTGGACAGTACCTCCTTGAAAGAAGCTACCCTGCATACAATGGTCTCATTAACTAAAGGAGGAGGAGAACCACCTCTTAACTCACTTGCTCTTGCTGGCCATTGCTTACTGCAGTATTTGCAAAAGGGTGTGGCTGGTTATTAGCCACACCCATTACAATTATTAATCAGTGGGTGTGTTTTATTACTAAACCACACCCACATTATAAAAGTGTCATGGCGTCTGAAACAGTATCTCCGCATTCTGTCTCTCCCTCTCTCTCTCCCTCAGTTTCTGTTGATCCAATGATCAATAGCAGTGTCGCTCTAATGTATAACCTTTGGATGGACTGGGGGATCAAACAGAGTCAGGAGTTATCATTACTACTGTATAACAACCAACTGGCCAGTGTCACCTCAGTGTTGATATTACTACTGAGCTGTGCCTTCGTGTACTGCTGCAACTGCTGCTGCTGCTGCTGCTATAGGAGACAGCAAGAGAGACGTCGTACGTCATTTTAAAATATATTCATGAATATTAATGACTATCCATAGAGTCTAAAGTGGTACCGTCTTCTCGCTCATCAGAGATAAGGAAACGGGATTTAGTCCGTCACTTGGGACGAAGAGTCATGAGAGTTGGAAAGGTAAGCCACACCCATTTTACAGGTACTTATACATGTACATTTTTAGACTCGTCTTCATGAATTTAGAAGAAATTCAATTGGGTACGTTTATGATATTTTATTGCCAAATTGCTGCTTTGAATATCAAACACGTTTGAACTGATTCCAACCATATCTCATTATTAATAGGTTTCGGTTCCAGCCCCTCCCCCCCAGTACGTCTGATATTCAGTTACACAGAGAACCACCTGCAGCTTACCTTGAAGCAGATCTGGAGGTACACATATATTTTGTTTGTTTATTTATTTTGTTTGTTTGTTTGTTTGTTTATCATAGCTTGAGAGTCAAATACCTCATGATGTTATGTATCTTTTAAAAAGTGTTCGGTTAGTTAATGTTAGTGTACATGTAATTCATTGTGTGTTAGGGTTTTTGGTCATTTTGAGAAACCTTTGTTCATGGAACTGTGCAAACACGTGGAGACAAAGTTTGTTCCATCTGGTGCCATTTTGTTTCGACCAGGCCAGGTACAGTACAATATGAGGGAGTACATGTACCCACGGGCTGTCCCACTGCAGGTGGATGACAGTATCTATGTAGTACAGAATGGTAAACTGCATGTGTTCTTGATTGAACAAGATGGAACTGAGTTTCCTCTTAAAGATGCTGGAACTGGGGAAAGTGTTCACAGTTTACTGAGCCTAATGGATGCCATTATTGGTCAGTCCATTAGTCCTATTATTATATTAATCTACATCCTACAGGTCAGCCACACCCCTTTAGGACTGTCTCTGCTAGAGCAGTGAGAGATACTTACGTACTTCAGTAAGAGAAAAGGGTGGGGCAGGGGGAGGGGCTAACAATATGTACTATTATTGTACAGGATAAGAGCTAATTCATTTAAAAAGTTTTTTGATGAAAATCCGGATTCACTTCTAAGAATAATACAAGTGATTTATTATCATTGTTACTATTATTAGACAATGTTACTATTATTAGATCATAATGCTGCGGTTGCAGAGGGTCACCTTCCTTGCATTGAACCAGTTTCTTGGACTAGGACAAGAACTACTGATACAAGTAATAATGAACACACATTAATGTATCTATTATTAGCAACCATCAGTGTATCCACATGTATTATTAGTAACTGTATCTATTAATAGAAAGTGTCTATACCTACTGACCTCAATATTTATAAACTGAAGCACTCCTTTCAAAGAACTGGAACTAACCAATCGCTTCAAGTTGATGATTATGAAACCAGTGATACTATTAATAGGTACAGCAATAATCATGACTATTAATAACTTGTTACTATTAATAGTTTCAGTACTCAATTGGTGGGCGGTGACAGTGACAGTGAGGGATTGACATCAGATGGAAGGAATAGGTAATACTTTAATGAATAATATACTGAACATGATCTTAACATGATCTTAACATGATCTTAACATGATCTTAACATGATCTTAACACCTACTGATACTGTATTTTATGCATGCAGTGACCCTCCCCCTCCTCCTCTTGAAGTGACTAAGTATGACTCGACTGGTGATGAATCCACTGGCAAGAAGCCAAAGGCTGTTGCTATAGATACCAGTCAAAATGCATCATTCACTCACCGACTGATACCAGCCCAGAGTCCTGAGTTCGATAATGTCATTAATCAGGTAACCCCACCTTCATCTCAGTATACTCTCTGTATATTGTAGTATATTTCAGTATATCTCTGTATACTAGGCTAGAGTTGATAGAATGGAGTTTGGTGGTTCTCAGCCAGTGAAAGCTAATCTCATTCAAAATGTTCCATTAAGATATTCTCACTTTGTGTCTCTCGAGAGCAACGATATATTACAAGCAGCAACTGCTGACCTCATCAAAATATTCCAACTCAAAGTAGCTCCTCCCAATGATTAGACACTAGTGGTCCATTGCTCTCTATTCATATACTGTAGGATAACTCACTTCTCAATGGAAGGATACAGCTAATTGAAGTGGCTTGTAACTCTGTCCTTGGATATGAAGGAGATCTTGTAATTATTATTATTATTATTATTATTATTATATTAATATATGCAGGACAGTTGTGTGTATTTCATAGTCTCTGGGCGGATTAAAGTGTTCAAGTTGCACAGTTCAAAGGAGAGTGGCTCATGCAGTCATGAAGAGTTGCTGTATTACGCTCAACCTGGAGAATTTGTTGGAGTCCTGTCAGCTCTGACTGGTGAACCTTCCTTTATATCATTGAAAGCAGCTTCATATTCTCATCTTATTGCCATCACTAAGACTAACCTTTATCAGTACATACCATGTATTAGTGTACTGTACCTCTACCTCTGTCTGTTAGGATCCTGTCAGAGCACCCGATAGCTGTCTGTGGGATAGCGTCTGATCTTGTGAGAAGATTGTCTCATTTTGTCAAACAAATGGACTTTGCTCTTGACTGGATGGACTTAGAAGCTGGGAAAGCATTGTACAGGTACATGTGGTTATATTTTAAACTGATTCAGATAAAAACCTGATTTTTTGAGAACTTTGAAGTTGCTATAAAATTGGACCAAAGTCCCTGTACCAGGATTTTAGCCAAATTTAGTCAAAATTTAAAAAGAAGAAAATTTTCAACTTTTATTACATTTTTTGATCCATATTAATGTCTTTATGCTGTGTAGCAAGTTTGAGGCAATTCCAACTTCCACTTTTCAAGTTACGGCCATTTAGAAAAATGAGCCAAAATCTGAAAAATACCCAAGGCTATAGTCCATGTTTTTTTCCAAAAAATGGCCAAAAAATCACCCCAAATTTTTATTACATTTTCTGATACATACTGATGTTTTTATGCTGTGTAGAAAATTTGAGCTGACTCTGACTTCAATTTTTCAAGTTACAGCCATTTTAAGAAAACGTCAAAAATCTAAAAAATACCCAAGGCTATAGTCCATTGTTTTTTTCCAAAAATGGCCAAAAAATCACCCCAAATTTTTATTACATTTTCTGATACATAATGATGTCCTTATGCTGTGTAGAAAGTTTGAGGTGATTCCGACTTCAATTTTTCAAGTTACGGCCATTTAAAGAAAATGCCAAAAATCTGAAAAATACCCAAGGCTATAGTCCATGGTTTTTTTCAAAAAATGGCCAAAAAATGACCCCAAATTTTTATTACATTTTCTGATACATATTGATGCCCTTATGCTGTGTAGAAAGTTTGAGGCGATTCCGACTTCAATTTTTCAAGTTACGACCATTTTAAGACATCGCTATATTGGCTAAAGTGCCTGTACTACAGTACAGGGACTTTAGCCAAATTTAAAAATGAGTGTTTTGTTCTAGTTATTAATTAGTTATTAATAGGCAGGGGGAGGAGTCTACTGTTGCTTATATCATACTGAACGGGAGGTTGCGGTCAGTGGTGAAGAATGAAGACGGAAAGAAAGAATTAGCTGATGAGTATGGGCGTGGTGAAACAGTGGGTGTGGTTAGTATCGACCAATCAAAATCACTTATTTATTTGATAGCGGTAGGTTGAAGTAATGACAAAATCACCTCGTGCCACTACAGTCCATGCTATAAGGTATGTGGGTGTGGTTTAAGGCATGGCTTATTTTAGGGCATTAAATAGAGATACAGAGTTAGCAAGTGTTCCATTGGGTTTGCTAAATACAATTAAAATGAAGAAACCTCAGGTACCTTAAGAACTATTATTAATGATGATTGTACGTGTACTATACATTAGGTGGTGTCCAGGCTGATCCAGTTACTAGGGGAGAAGATAATGGGAAGCTATAACAGAGTCCTGTCAATGCCAGCTGGACCCACTGAGAGTAAGTCAACTGTTGAACTGATTATAATGTACATCAACATGTATTCATTAGACTCTACAATGCTCAGTAAGCACTTGGTCTCTAACCTCTCGACTGTTGCTGTGGTACCAATATCAGCTGACATTCCCTTATCACACATCACCAGACACCTCACTGCTGCTGTCAACACTATTGGTATAATAACATTAATATTTATTTATTTATTTATTTCATGTATTTCATGTATTAGTTTCTGCTAAAAGGTTAACCAGTAAACTGATAGAAGAAGAACTGGGTACATCAGCACTAGAGAGGTACAGCTATCTACTGTACATGTACTGTACATTATTGGTATATTATTGTTATATTAGTACATTATTGGTATATTATTGGTATATTAATGTGTTCCCCTGCAGTGTTCATGAGTACAGACTGTGCACGTGGCTAGGGCATCAGGAAGACACTCATAAAATTGTTATTTATCAAGCAAACGGATCCTTAACCCCTTGGACTGCTAGATGCATCAGACAAGTACGTCATACACCTACACTACACTACACTACACTACACTACACTACACTACACTACACTACACTACACTACACTACACTACACTACACTACACTACACTACACTACACTACACTACACTACACTACACTACACTACACTACACTACACTACACTACACTACACTACACTACACTACACTACACTACACTACACTACACTACACTACACTACACTACACTACACTACACTACACTACACTACACTACACTACACTACACTACACTACACTACACTACACTACACTACACTACACTACACTACACTACACTACACTACACTACACTACACTACACTACACTACACTACACTACACTACACTACACTACACTACACTACACTACACTACACTACACTACACTACACTACACTACACTACACTACACTACACTACACTACACTACACTACACTACACTACACTACACTACACTACACTACACTACACTACACTACACTACACTACACTACACTACACTACACTACACTACACTACACTACACTACACTACACTACACTACACTACACTACACTACACTACACTACACTACACTACACTACACTACACTACACTACACTACACTACACTACGTGTTCATGTTCATGTATTATTGGTCTCATGATACCACAGGCTGACTGTATCTTACTGGTGGGGGTAGGGGACCAAGTACCTAACTTTAATTCAATGGGAACGGTAAGACATTATTTCTCTCAGTACTTATAAATAGAATCATTGTCCTTATAATTAGATAGTTACACAAGTTGAAAAGATATCAGCAAGAGTTCGTAAAGAGCTGGTCCTGCTTCATAAAGAAGGTGTGGCTCACCCACAGGGCACAGTCCAGTGGCTCAATGCTTTGGGTTGGCTGTCATCATATTTCCATGTACATCAGAGTAGCCATTTTGAGAACATAATAACGGTAATTCTTACTGTAGGTGAGGTGCCCTGATGAGTTCTTCACAGAAACCTCCTCAGCAGCTGTAAGTACCTGAGCCCGTACTGTACTGTATAACCATCTCTTATTGTGTTAGGATGAAAGATCACTACCCACCCCACCAGACAAGTATACCCACTAGCTAATTGACTGTACATGTACATGTACATGTACATACATTTTCTTCTATAGACATTCTGACATTGCAAGATTGGCAAGGAGGCTAACAGGGACATCAGTTGGACTGGTATTAGGAGGAGGAGGAGCTAGGGGGTTGTCTCACTGTGGGATCATCAAAGCATTTCAAGAAGCAGGTAACAATTAATGTACAGTACACTGTACACATAACGGCTTAAATATACTGAGTAATATACTGAGTAATATACTGAGATAACCTATTTTACATGTAGGTGTTCCTATTGATATGGTGGGTGGTACCAGCATTGGTGCTCTAGTTGGGGCCCTCTACTCTGAGGAATGTGACGCTGGAGAAGTTCTTAAAAGAGCAAGCACCTTCTCCAAGAGAATGGCAGCATACTGGGACAAGATACTGGACCTGACCTATCCTTCAATGTCAATGTTTACTGGTAAGATTACTGAGATATACTGGAATGTACTGGAATATACTGATAGGGCGTGCATTTAATACTATAATATACAATGTATTTCATGAGAGACACATTGAGGTAATGTAGTTGATTGTGTGTGGGCGGTTACTATTAATAGCAGGACTTATGGCTGCCGTACTATTGTGTAACTACTGATGTCACTGACTCCAAGATGAGGGTCCACACTGCTGGCTGCTTGTGGAGGTACGTGAGAGCTAGCATGTCACTGTCTGGGTACCTCCCTCCTCTTTGTGACCCTGTGGATGGACACCTCCTCCTTGACGGAGGATATGTCAACAACCTACCTGGTAATGAGCTCTCATGCAGCAATGATCCACTTGTGTATTTATTGTTATTATCGTTAGCTGATCTGATGTCGTCTCAAGGAGCTGAACACATCATTGCCATTGACGTTGGATCGGAAGATAATAACGCCCTATTGAATTATGGGGACTCTATCTCTGGCTGGAGAATTATTTGTAATAAATTGAATCCTTTTTCAAAAACAATGAGGGTACGTCCATATATGGTAGTTTATATATTTTACATGTGACTCCTGGGTTCTGATTGGTCAGATTCCTAACTTGACAGAGATACAGTCAAGATTGGCGTATGTATCTTGTGTTCGACAATTGGAAACTGTCAAGAATGATTCTTCTTGTGAATACATACGACCACCTATTGACAAGTAAATTAATAATCATCATCATTAATTAATTAATTATAATAATTCCAGTATTGCTACAATGCAGTTTGGAAGTTTTGATGAAATTGCAGTGAGTTCATGTGTAACATTACATGATCTATTTTTAGCACATACTTGATGTAATTACTTGTGTGTCTATTTTTAGCACATTGGTTATAAGCACTGCAAGTCAGTCCTCAGTAGTTGGACTAAAAGCCACACCCTCTCACACTTATTAACTGAGACTCTCGCTAAGGATTTTAGACAAAAACGAAACCTAATGGAACCATCAGATGTAAGCACCGCCCACTCAATTAGTTTATCATTATTATTTCAGAAGTCGTTAAGTCGTAAGGTTCCATCAATTCATAACCTGGCAGCTCTAGCAGCTGAAATACCTCAACTGAAGAACAAGGAGACGGTGATGCAAGATGAAGACATTGATGGTACTGTATGATAATGTATAATGGTGTCATTATCATAATGAATAGGTTATTGGTCTAATCCTGAGGTAGTCCCTGTGAGTACTGAGGAACCGGACGAGGAGGAGGAGGACAGCTATGAAGAACAGTCACTGAAGAAAGGCACTGATACTAAAAATAACAGACAGCAACTTGTTACTAATAATAGTAACAGAAGTATGGCATATTCTGACTCTGAGATCCATAATATAAATTAACAATCAGTATACTATTGGTATTCCTCAGTATACTATAATAATCAGTGTTATTATTAGTAAATCTTCGGTATACTATCAGTATTATTATTAGTGTCCGTTACTTCACTTCCTTTGCCTTGTCAGCAGTAGTTTGAGATTTTTTTCTCTTTTTTGCCTAAAACAACAAATTATCATCAAACCACACCCACTGCCCCGCCCCTCACCTCTTCACAAAGTGACACTAATCGTCCTTTCTTAGCCAGAGTCTTCAATAGCTCCATTATTAACGGGAGGTAGTTGTGACGCCTACGAATATTCTCCAACTAAAAGAACAGTCAAATAAATCAATAAATGAATGATCACGTTACTCTATAAGTCTCCATTTTGTCATTTTCAATTCGTATTAATTCATTGAGTCTAATCACTTCTCCCTCGGCCTCTTCAATGATCACTTGAAGTTGCTCTGGGTCATCAGGTAAACCTGAATTATCTTCCATCGACTCACCACCTCCGGAAAGAACACTTTGGATCTATCAAGGAACAATAAATTAAGACTCCGTCATTATTATTAACCTTTTTAGCAGCCAATTCTTTCCTAGTGTCCAACTTTACTATTTCTTTTTTATAAACTGCTCTCTTGTCACTTACAAGTGCTAACAAGTTGAAATGAATCTCGCCAGCACTGTAACTAAAATATAACAAAATAACTTCAAAAACATTTACAGAAATTTGGCAAAAATCCTATCAAGCTGGGGCTTTAGCTCAATCTGGAGAAACTTTAAAATATATAAAGAGTCCACACTTGTAAAAAGGTCAACACTTTTTTGCACAACATAAGTACACATATATGTATCAAAAAATTTAGAGTGATTTCAAAGCCATTTTTAGTGAAAAACCCAAGGCTATATATATATATAGCCTTGGGTATTTTTCAGATTTTTGATGTTTTCTTAAAATGGCCGTAACTTGAAAAATTGAAGTCGGAATGGCCTCAAACTTTCTACACAGCATAAGGGCATCAATATGTATCAGAAAATGTAATAAAAATTTGGGGTGATTTTTTGGCCATTTTTTGGAAAAAACCATGGACTATAGCCTTGGGTATTTTTCAGATTTTTGACGTTTTCTTAAAATGGCCGTAACTTAAAAAATTGAAGTCAGATTCGCCTCAAACTTTCTACACAGCATAAGGGCATCAATATGTATCAGAAAATGTAATAAAAATTTGGGGTGATTTTTTGGCCATTTTTTGGAAAAAACCATGGACTGTAGCCTTGGATATTTTTCAGATTTTTGACGTTTTCTTAAAATGGCTGTAACTTGAAAAATTGAAGTCGGAATCAGCTCAAACTTTCTACACAGCATAAGGGCATCAATATGTATCAGAAAATGTAATAAAAATTTGGGGTCATTTTTTGGCCATTTTTTGGAAAAAACCATGGACTATAGCCTTGGGTATTTTTCAGATTTTTGATGTTTTCTTAAAATGGCCGTAACTTGAAAAATTGAAGTCGGAATTACCTCAAACTTTCTACACAGCATAAGTACATCAATATGTATCAGAAAATGTAATAAAAATTGGAGGTTATTTTTTGGCCATTTTTTGGAAAAAACCATGGACTATAGCCTTGGGTATTTTTCAGATTTTTGATGTTTTCTTAAAATGGCCGTAACTTGAAAAATTGAAGTCGGAATGGCCTCAAACTTTCTACACAGCATAAGGGCATCAATATGTATCAGAAAATGTAATAAAAATTGGAGGTGATTTTTTGGACATTTTTTGGAAAAAACCATGGACTGTAGCCTTGGGTATTTTTCAGATTTTTCACGTTTTCTTAAAATGGCTGTAACTTGAAAAATTGAAGTCGGAATCACCTCAGACTTTCTACACAGCATAAGGGTATCAATATGTATCAGAAAATGTAATAAAACAAGACACAAGTACAAGTTCATGTACCTACTTACCTTTGCATTCTTTTCTCCAGTATTGGTCTCACTGTATTTAGCCAGTCGGTACTGTCAGTTGCTCCATGATCAATGGGGCCTGTCTTTAATCCGTCCAGTTCATAAAGTCGGCCATTAATTGGAACAAAAGCAACAAAATGAAACACATCTTCACCTCCTTTAGATAATGAGTCGTCAAACTCAAACATTTGCTGTCTATCAAACAAATATACTGACATACACTAAAATATACTGACATATACCTTGCAAAACTATTATGTACTTTCCTTATTTGGTCGCTATTAGTTAGACTAAGCCCACGATCCTGAAATTAATAAAAGTTGCTGGTAAAATCATCACTTCAATAACATTCAATGGTTGCCCTTACTGTTGGTGAGAATGAAGCAGCAAATTCTTTGAAATCAGTTAGCACTGATCCTAACTCAACGTCGGAATGAGTCACATTCAGTAATACACTGAGCACTGCTTGAGTAGCACAAGCATTCTTGATCTCCTGTAAAACAATAACAATAGCTACAGTCTCTATACATAAGGATACATAGTCTCCAGCTAAGGGCCAGGGGACGAGACTAAAGGATATACTACTCTAACGACTGCTGTCCATTAAATGGAGGCGTGTACATTAACTGATCAGTATCACCTGTCTAGCAAAGAAGATGTCTCTGATTCGACTGTCTTCAACAATACTCCCCTGAACATTGTCATCTGGACGCCACTTGTACAGGAATATCAACCCATGGACTGGTCTTAATAATTAATAAAAACAGGAACCATAAACTGCTACAATACATACTTGAGGTTCAATAGAATGTCATTGTCAAGGCTCCAAACTTCTTCAACCTGTACACCACTTACTCCTTTTGATACATCATAATTAATAATAAATACTATTAACATATTCTGTATCATTACCAAATCCTCTAATTAATTCAGTGAAGACTCCTGGATCACTCTCAATCAGACACCACTCACCAGCCGCCATATTGAACACAAGACCACACCCAATTTAATAACCCCACCTCCCCAGTCCCCACACTGGTGTATTGATAATTCAAAAAACTTTTTAAAAAGCAACTAAAGTGTAATTATTGTCAAGAGATTATAATTATTGTCACTAATTCATTATTAATTATTGATTGTCCAATTCCGTCATGTCTCTCCTACCTTTAATGACAAGATGGCCCCAGGAGTAGATAAGGTCTATCTTATAAAGAATAATAACAAGACACTTAATGAAGGGAAGGACACAAGATATATATTTCATATAAGAGAAGCAGTAATACGGAATATTCAATAAAATGAATTATTATAATCCTCACAAAAACCACCTCCTGAAGACAGTGACGCCATTTTAAAGACCAGAAATACCAGCTATTGAAAGAAAGCACTAATAGTATACTGGAATATACTAAAATATACTGAGAATATACTGGGGTATACTGGAAACATTATAATGTGCAAGTTAATTATACAAATAATCACTGACAAATTAATAAAAGAGAATAGACAGTTTGAGAGAAGAGAGAATGTAACAAAATGAATAGTTCAAAATACAACAACAATGGATGACACTTCAACAGTAGACTAGGCTGTAATAAACAAGAAAATATATAACAGGACCGCTCACACACAAACACTTCAAATAAAAGTAACAAACCTAATTCCGTGGGGGCATTCCTCCAGTTTGAGGGGGGCCCCCTTGGCCAGGGGGAGGGCCCCCACCAGCCCCCTGCTGCTGTTGCTGATAGTAGTACATTTGTCGGTAATACTCTGCCCATTGGGCCTGTAAGTCATTGGAACCAGCTGCTCCACTGGACGGAGGGCCACCTGCTTTATGAATAACTAACAAGTGACTCGTTAAAGGAACCTCCTCTTACCTTGCTGACTGCCTCCTTGAGGAGCACCCCCCGGTCCACCCCCTCCTCCTTGCTGCTGCTGCTGCTGTTGAGTGTATGCTTGCAACTGTTGGTAATAAGCAGCCCACGCTAATGAAGGAAAGAGAATGTTCTATTAATAGATACACTGTTACTATTAATAGATACACTGTTACTATTAATAGATACACTGTTACTATTAATAGATACACTGTTACTATTAATAGGTACACTGTTACTATTAATAGGTACACTGTTACTATTAATAGATACGTACCTGCTTCACTACTTTGCTGTCCACCTGGTGCTCCTCCTTGTGGAGGTTGCTGTTGCTATAGAAACCAATAATTAAAGCTCTCATTATTCCAATACTTACATGAGGGGCTCCTCCTCCATACCCACCTGCTGTAGGATACCCTCCTCCATAAGAGCCATACTGACCCCACCCCTGGGCCCCACCCATTCCATGGATACCACCATAGGCAGCCATACTAGTATCAATAACTATTAATAATATGGTACCATTGATTAGCCATACCCAGCATAAGGATCCCCTGGAATACCTCCTCCCTATATTAATTATCAATGGAGTAACAATAAAGCATCTACTCCTCCTCTACCTCTAGCTTCTGTCTAATGAGGTTCTGAGCTGCCTGGATATTCTGGGGTAGTCCTCTCAAATTGAAGAGTTTCTCCTGGGGGTTGGTGTTAGGACCTCGGTCAAGTTCAATGTGACAATTTGATTGAACCATCAGCTGTCGAACTGTGTCACCTCCTAATAAGGTAAGATACTATTTATAGAATGTTACTATTAATAGAACTGACCTTTCCCAATGATGAGTCCACATTTATTGGCAGGTATTGGAAAGCTCACAGTCTGTACCTGGGGCCCCTGGGGATCAGGTAAGTCTATTCTTGGTTTGATCCCAGTCTGTTGCCTCTGTGGATAAAATTAATAATTAATATATTAAGGACCACAATAGTTAATAAACTGTTTCCTCATAATGGTAATTAAATATTCATAATTTATTGACCACACCTCTCCAACCATTTCCTCAACCATCCTCTTAGCCTTCTGGACCTCCAGTGGTTTACCAGCAATAGTCGTTAGTCTGTACGGAGTGTGGGGAATGTCTATCCATTAATATAATTATTAATATCATCATTATTTATTCATTATTAGTTACCATGGTGAAATTGAAGTCGAACATTACACAATGATTGAATATTGTTAATATTTTCTCCGTTTCTTCCAATTATAAAACCAACCAGTTCACTAGGCACACGCATCTACACAAAATAGACACAAGAACACTTCAGTGAATGCACACCGTTAATGAATATTAATAAATATTGGTAAGAAATTGAATATTAATTTACTTCAATCATTTCGGGTAGTCCAGTACTTAGGTCACCAGTGAGTCCACGAGCCTACGAATTAAGAAACTGATTTAATACACAAACAAGACAACAAGTTAAAGATAAACAAATAAATAAACAAGACAGCAATGCATGAGGGGGTACCCTAACCTTCGCTGGAGTCCTGTCTCTGAGCTTGTGGGTGAGGCTAGTGCTGGGTGTGGTTTGTGATACAATATTAAGTGTGTGGGTGTGTACTTATTAAACCATTATATGAGGAAACAGTCAGCATTATATGTACATATTATGTATATACATCTACTTGAGCATACCTCCAATTCCTTCTGTTCCATCAAATCAAGAACCAACTGTCTCGCTTTCTATATAAAAGAGATACTGTATATTATTGCAATACTCATGGAGAGTACCTTGCAGTTCTCGGAGAACCCTGTCATTCTTAAAGGTTTCTCAGGAGTGCTAGCATAAGGTCCGTCCTGTATCATCTGCATCTTACAGCCAGCTCTCTCCTGAAGCATCTTAATCATCTCCCCTCCTTTACCTGATACAATCAGTCAATATAAAACTAACAGTGAGTGTACATGTACATGTATATAAACAATGGTAACACCTGATAGATTGTGTGTCAGATTCAACCCTATCGTGTTACCATATCATTGGGTCAACTCATGCACATCATAAATACATCATTCACACAATCAGTGTACATATTAATTAAATACATGTACATATTAATTAAATACATGTACATATTAATTTCCCTTACCTATTATTAGTCCAACTTTACCAGCTGGTATCATTAATTCAACAACCTCTTGACCAGCTTCTAGATTCTAAAAGAAAGAGATAATAATAATTAACAGTAATCATAATACATAATCCCATGCTTGGTACTGAATTATGAGCACATCAGTATGAAACCAGAACTGAGTGTTTTCAGACACACCCATTAATGAGTGCTTCAAAACGGCAAGCGATCATTCCTCATTTGTGCTCATTAATTCAATTAACCACAACTGAGTACACAGACCTCCCTTAGGACCACATGTTACCTTAAACATGCAAATACTGACCTTTTAACATAACATTAGAAATATTGACCTTTAACATATACCCCCCCCCTAAGGACCACATGTTACCTTAAACATGCAAATACTGACCTTTTAACATAACATTAGAAATATTGACCTTTAACATATACCCCCCCCCTAAGGACCACATGTTACCTTAAACATGCAAATACTGACCTTTTAACATAACATTAGAAATATTGACCTTTAACATATACCCCCCCCCTAAGGACCACATGTTACCTTTTAACACTCACATACCCTCTCCTTCTCTCTCTGAAATACAAGAACTCAAACCTAAGGCTAAGGTACATGTACATCATTATCAATGACACTATTACACATACATACCAAAAGAAAGTTAATAATGTGACAAGACACAAATATATTAATTTACAGTACAACCCTGGCTGACCCATTAACACAATTGCAACTATCCTTTCCAACAACTCATGTCTATTAAATGCCATTAATAAGTACATGTACATTAATAAAAGGGGTCCATTAATAAAGGTCAACATATGAGCACATCAGTATGAAACCAGAACTGAGTGTTTTCAGACACACCCATTAATGAGTGCTTCAAAACGGCAAGCGATCATTCCTCACTTGTGCTCATTTAAACTAAAACTGAACATGAAACCCTTTACCATCCATTACCCTTTAACATAAGTAACCCAACCACACTTACAGTAACTACTGAAGTGACTCCACCTGCATTCTCTATCACTCCATTCACCAGTAGTTTGGCTTTCCTACCAACGAGAAACACATGTACTTGTACATTAGACTCGTAAAACCTTACTCTACAGTGTCTGGGGTCCCTGATATTGATACACTCCTCTCTCCGCTAACTTCTGATCCATCTAAAGTGGGTGGAGTCAATGCATCACATGGTAATCATGTGATACCTGGGGCTACTTGTATCTTGGCTCCTGATTCCGCCTGTAACTTGTTGATCATCTCACCTTGTCTGCCAATGACTGGAAGAACATGAAAAAACATTAATATACACAAGTGTGCCTTACCTAATCCAACCATTCTGTTAGGTACTTTAATTTCTATTGTCATTGTTTGAGCAAAACCCAACTGGCCTGCGATCCTAAACCCCTCCCAGTTATTAATAGTTATTAATTAAAGTCATTACTTTGATATAGCTTGTTGCGCTATTAGTTTGGGAGTGGGTAATGAGTCATCGTTGAAATCAGTAGGAGGTTTCTTTGTATCTGGACCTTCTCCATCATCTAAAGGTCTCTTCCTACTACCATCTACTGATAATAATAGAATTAGACTCATTAATATTGGTACATGTGTACCTTCGGATCCATTATTGTAACCTCCGGATGTAAGTTTGGCAGCTATCTGTAGCAGAGGGGATATTAGGTGTAGTTGGAAGGAGAGTTCTTACCTCTAGGGCTCTCTTCTGAGCCTCAGCTACCCCATCAGTCTTCTCTCCAGCAGACATACTTTACTCCAGTGATCGTGAGGGGCAATGTGACCCACTGACCTACTGCGCACGCTCAGTACAGTTATTAATAATAATGATTGACCACACCCACTTAAACATGGCAGCTAGCAGTACTACTCTAGTGCTGGACAATGGAGCCTCCTCCTTGAAAATAGGAATAGAGAAAGAGACAGAACCAGTTTCAGTACCAAACTGCATCACCAGGTATATCATGATTATTGCATTAAATAATATCAAATTATTGCAGGACAAAGACTGAAAGAAGGAAGAGTTTCATTGGCAATCAGTTGGATGACATTAAGGATCTCTCTGGACTCTATTACCTCCTGCCCTTTCAAAAAGGTTACCTTGTAAACTGGGACACACAGAGACAGATATGGGATCATGTCTACCAGTCACTGCTCAAGATAACACCATCAGACCTCAACCTTATTGTTACTGAACCACCTTTTAACTTTCAGTCAGTGAGGGACGCCATGATTGAAGTATTGTTTGAGGAATATGGTTTCTCATCTCTTACTCTCACTCTCCCATCATCTCTCTCCTCCTTCCATCAGCTAATGGAGTACCCAGAGAGACCCTGTACACTAGTGGTGGACAGTGGGTATTCATTCACTCATGTTGTTCCCTATTATCGTGGGAAGGCTTTACTTGAGAGTACCTTGAGGATTGATGTCGGTGGTAAACTGCTCACTAATCACTTGAAGGAGATAATCTCCTACAGACAACTTAATGTCATGGATGAGACCTACGTCATGAATCAAGTGAAAGAAGATGTTTGTTTCGTCTCTCAAGACCTTTACACTGACATGAGGAAAGCTAGAGGGAAACAAGACACAAATACAATATCTCTTGACTATGTCCTTCCTGATTTCACGTCTGTTAAAACTGGATACATATTACCAAAAGGGGGCAAGCAACATGGAACTAGTGAAGAACAGATATTAAGGATTGGCAATGAAAGGTTCAGTATTCCAGAGATATTGTTTAATCCATCAGACGTTGGAATACATCAAATGGGAATACCAGAGGCCATTGTCCACTGCATATCCACTACCCCTAAACCAATGCACAGATACCTCTACTCCAATATCCTAGTGACTGGAGGAAGCACAAGGTTTCCTGGTTTCCGTGAGAGGGTTCTTACTGACGTACGTAAACTGGCCCCAGATACGTATCCAGTTGATGTTACACAACATGATCGACCTGATTTGGTCCCCTGGTTGGGGGGCCAGAAATTGGCGCAAGAAGGAAGGGAGGGGGCAGGGGGGCACCTTCAAAGTGTAACACAGTCAGAATACAAGGAGGGAGGTCTGGCCCAATGTCACAAGAAGTTTTATGACAATCAAATAATATTACACTCAAATTATAATTGAGTCCAAGTTGAATGGTGTTTTGAAATAAAACTAAAATACTAATAATAATGTTAATGGTAGCTTAGGGAAGAGTCATTATGATTAAGTTATAGTGGGACACTCCACGAGTCCAGGAACCAGTTATTAAAGTAGGTTAGATAGTCAGTACTGTACATGTTACATAAGAGGATAGCAACAGCTAACAAAATGGAGGCCATTACAAGCCCAGTAACTCTCATTAGTGATGATGATGTTTTTTGCCGGGGAGGAGGAGGGATTGAAGAACTGCTGGATTCTAAACTGGACTGGGCCTTCCCTTCCATACTGTCCTCCACAGGAGGAGTCGCATCCCTCTCTTCCTCCTCCATCTTAAATATATAGTATACGGAGGAGAACGGAAGTTTCTTGCTAAAGTCTCCGGTCAACCACGTGAAAACAAATGGTATCAACAAACTATTAATTAAATGTTGTTTTAGATTTATTTTATAGGCAGACTTTGAGTACTTATCTCCAGAAGGTTAGGAATTATATTGTTTAAGCAGTTTGATCATGTGATCCCACAGGCCTGAGATCTGATGGTAGGAGACCACAAGAGCTGAGAGTGTTGTCATGTAACATCAGTCACTGCTTACAGGCAGACGGGTCTGCTTACCTTCAGCAAGGGAACACTAGAGTGATTGCTACTGTGTATGGACCACACGATGTCAGTTACCATTGTTATTGTTGGTTAATGAGGTCTGCTTGTTGATGACAGGTTAGTAGGAGGTCTGAGGCTCAACACGACAAAGCATTCATCAACTGTCAGTTTAGTATGGCCACATTCTCTACCTCCGAGAGAAAGAAAAGACCAACTGGAGACAAGTAACAACATGTCATTTATTATTATCATTATTGTCTATTAGATCCTGTTTGGAAACTTCACTCGCTTTGAAAAAGACGTTTGAGGCAGCCATTTTAACAGATACATATCCTCACTCTAAGATTGATATATTTGTACAAATACTGCAATCAGATGGAAGTAATTATATTAATTATTATTAATTTACTAATTATAATTAATTAGGTGATAAAGCAGTATCGATTAATGCTATTACTATGGCTCTTATTGATGCCGGCATACCAATGAAGGACTACGTGTGTGCTACTAGCGTTACTCTAATTAATGACACACCTATCGTTGGTAATGAACACACACTCGCACTGTATCTAATGATGTCTGCATTCCATTCCAGATCTTAATTATTTTGAGGAGAGGGGCCCAGGACCAGAACTAATAGTTGGAACTTTACCAAAATCAGGCAAAATTGTATTTCTACAAGTAAGTAAGGGGTCTGGAGCAGTCCCCTACTGGTTCTGGTACTTTAGGTAAATTCAAGACTTCATATAGACAATATGGAGAAAGTATTAAAGGAAGGAATGAATGGAAATCAACGGGTTCATACAATATTGGACACTTTAATAAAGAAACATCTTGAAAAATCAATTCTTACTTAAATATTAGAAATTATTAGAAATTTAATAAATACTAACAACACAAACTGTTACATACAATACAAATACTAGTATACTACATGATATTATACGTGTTACATAAAAATTAATATTTACTCTAGCTTTTACTGGTATACTTAATTAATAATGTATAATTATTACTTTTTAATAATCAAAGTCATATTCGTCTTCATCAGGGTCATACTCCATTGATTGGAAGTCAACCCTGTACCTCAGTATTCCGCCAATTCCACCAAACCCTTTACAAAACTGAGATCCTTCTTGCGACCGGTCAGTAACTATCTCCAGCGTAGCCCCAAAGGTCTTATAGTTGTTAGCCAGCCACTCCAGGAAGGCCAGTCGTTCAACCAGCTCCAGCTCAACTCCAGTCTCCTTGTCAACAAAGTTAGTTTTATCCTTTTCCTGCTCTGAGTTCAAATGAAGGACCACCTCCTCATCTTTCGAGTGGTTCTTCAGAGTCAGTCGCATCATGTCAATATTTTCCCAGACTATTAGGGTCTCCACTGCTCCCATTTCAAGAGCCTGGAGAGTGTCGGCCACACCAAAGCAATATTTTCCAGTGTCTTGTGATATCTCATCAAAGTAACGACCAATCAGCTTCTTCTCTTGAATGAACTTGACATTAGACAGTACCTCGGCCGAGAGTTCTATTGCCTGGTTGAACCCATTCTCTCCTCCGTAAGATACGTCAACCACTTTAAGAACCTTTGTATTTAGTCGAGGATCAAACATGTCCGATTGACTCAATTCAGTTTTAAAATCTGCTGAGCCAGCAAGAATGAGTCCTTCAATATTTGGCCGGTCTTGAGTTATGAAGAGCTGAACTGCTGTCTCTGCCACTTTCCTAACGTAGTTGTGTCTTTTCTCGAGTCTCAGACGAGCGAAACGTAAAGCAGATTGCCCTCCCCTCCCGTGTTTCTTAGGTAGATCAACAGTGAACTTGTGGAGTATGTCACGAGTATTACCACACAGTGTTCCAAATAATGCCCCGTTACCATCCATCACTATAAACCCAAACTTATTATCGTCAGCCAGTAGAGCACTCAGTGCTTCAGTGTGGAACTTGTTGTCACAGAGGTACAGTGACGTGTTGATCGGCTTGAACGGCTCGAAATCAATATTTACCTTCTTCTCTTTTCCCTCGTCTGTGACGATAGTCCCGCAATAAATAACTAACCCATTTGTTGGAACTTTTGAATACAACTTGAGTCTCTGCTGGACTGAAGTGATGGCTCCCAAGACTGAGAGACGATTGACACGACTCTTTATATTTGAGGCTGTTCCAAACTCATCAGCTAACATCTTAGCAACTCTTGATATCTGATCCTTGGGCGGTATTATCAGTGATATCATGCTGGTCCCGTTGCCCCGGGCTGCTTCAAGACTCTTTATTAACCTCTTGATCTTCCACATCTCGACGTTCCTGTCAGCAGAATCATCTCCTGGTAATATACTACCACTGGAGGCTGTAGCCATCACTGACATGAGAGAGAACTAGAGATAATGTGGACCTGATGATAACTAAAAGCTCAGTTGCACCACAAAGAGAAACTGCACGTGGGAAACGTTTTATATTCAAACCACACCCATTTAAATTGCTCCACCCATTCGTAAAATTAGGGAACAACTCAGGTGTGAGGTGGGGGGCCTGGGGGCCATGAAAGATGAAGTGTAGAAGATTGTTCTTATTCGAGGGCCTCTATCTCCTCTTCTGTGCCTTCATTGTCTTCATTGTTATGCCTCAACTGTGTAAAAGACTTGCCTACTCTCTTTATTATGATCCACCTCCTCAGGCCACCTCCATTGACCAGATTCAAACTGAGAACAAGGCCAGACTCCACTCAGCCCAGCAGTACCTGCTCCAGAATGATCTACATTACCTTTTTGACCATTTCAAGCTAAATCAAACAAAGTTCTGTTTTGTAATAATAACAATACCAAGAGAGGGATCCTACCTCACTCAGACTGCAGCAGCACTCATCCATCAACTCTCCTTCCTCTCAAACTTCACTTTCACCGTTTACAATCTAGCAGCAGCTGGCACTCACTCTGAGGCTTTCAAACTATCATCAAAAATACCAGTCACTAATTCAAGAAACCTAGATCCACCACCTGGCGATAAGTTTATTAAAGAAAAACTTGACTACCTCTCGGCTTTGAGGTGGTGCCATCAAAAGAAGTCAATATATAACATTGTATTGGAAGATGATGCCATGGCTGATCCAGGCTTTGCTCATAAACTAAACTTTATACTTCGTTACTGTTTGAAGGACACCACAGGAGATACCTGGGGTCTAATGAAGCTCTATTATCCAGAGAAGTATCAAGGATGGGGCAACAACAGGAGCTGTATCGGTGAGCTCCTGGTACTGACAGTGTTATTAGGAGGTACCCTGGTCATACTCAGTGGTATTGTACTGCCTAGTCCAATCGACTGGTGGCAATTTAAAATAAATGAAACCATCTTTAAATGGAGGCTATTGGTATCCCTCTCTCTCGTTCTGTATCTCATTCTTTCTTTTGGTAGGCCACACTGGGAAGAGGTCAGGAAGTTAAGTCCTTTTCTTATAAACGTTGTCCCAGCCCGAGGTTGCTGCACACCAGCTGTACTGTACCCTAGGAGTCACCTCCAGTCGCTAATAGACTATCTTGACTCATTCAACTGCACTGAGAGGGTCCCAGTGGACATTGCTATTGACTCATGGATTGCAGAGAAGAGGCTAAATAAACTGTTAGCAGTCCCTAATCTGTTCAACCACATCGGACTAATGTCCAGTCTACCTAAAGGAATGAAGCCATCTAGTGAATTTCATCTTTTATTTCCACCAAAATAGCTAATAAATTTTTGCATTTTATTTATTGATAAGTATTAATAACACTTTACCACACCCATCAATTCCCCAATATGTCAGGTAGTGTATTGTTTGTTGAACCATACTATGGTGGATCACACAAGCAAATGATGGATCTCTTATCAAGGGAGATTGGGGGCGTGGTTTATTCACTACCTGACACAAAATGGCATTGGAACATTAGAACGTCTTCTCTTCATTTCTCACAAATTATCCCACGGGACCAAATCGGATTAAAGTAATGATGATGAGCATAAAGTGGGAGTGGTACCTATAAACTATTTTAATGAAAATTTCTAAATTTTATTACATTTTCTCATGTACTTATGTTGCATGGAAAGTTTGAGCTGATTCCAATCAAAATTAGATTTTTTGCAAATTTTTAAAGTTGCTCCAAAATCAGGTCAAAGTCCCTGTATACAGAGACTTTGACCAAATTTTGCTAAAGTCTAAAAGGAGAGCCGATTCTCCATTTTTATTACATTTTCTTATCCATATGCCCTCACATATTCTTTATGAAAGGTTATTATTATTTTAGGATATTGTTCACTAGCAGTGTCCTTAATTTATGTGAGCTGGTTGGGTTACGTCCCGACCTCCTGGGCCTACATAAGATACTGTACTTTCATGAGAACCAGCTGGTGTATCCAGTGAGGAAACAGCAGGACAGAGACTATCAATATGGCTACAATCAAATACTCTCCTGGTCAGTATCATTCATATACCAGTGCTACTAAACAATGATCTCAATCACAGTCTTGTTGCTGATAAAATTGTGTTTAATTCTCATTTCAACATGAGATCTTTCCTCAGTAAAATAAACTCCTTTCTCAAGATCTCTCCCTCTCTCTCCTCATTACCAAATGACCTTACTGATCTCATTCAACCAAAATGTACAGTTCTCTATTACCCAATTGAAGTACCTGATCAATATGTGTACACTGGATCACATGATGAGAGGTCACATGATGAGAGGTCACATGATGAGAGGTCACATGATCAAGTACCTTTGGAAAGAGGGCCCCTTCACATTGTATGGCCACACAGATGGTATGGATGTGCAGTATTACTATTCTTTTAATTTTATTTATATTTGAAGGGAACACGACAAAGGGCCTGAGGAGTTTTCAGAATTAATAAAGAAGCTGCTTGAAGCAAGACTGGAGTTCCATCTCTCGATACTTGGTACCCATACTCAGGATATCCCCGGTAACCTCAGTATACTATGGCGTATAGTATACTCCATTAATTCTAGTTTGTTTGTCTGAGCTGTTTAAACTGTTGGGATCTGATGTGCTCCTTCATCACGGCCCAGTTGATAAAGAGGAGTACTGGTCCATACTGAAAGGAGCTGATGTTGTCATTTCAACTGCTAAACATGAATTCTATGGAGTAGCAATGTACATATAACATAGATATTAGGTCTAATATTTATGATTATAACCACTAACAACAGTGTGATTATACTTTATTCCATAGGATTGAAGCAACAATTTGTGGATGCTATCCTTTATGTCCAAATGATCTTGTATATCCAGAGATATTTCCAGGTACTTGATGTGTTCCAATGATATGATGATGCTTTCTTTCTTGATAGAGGATTGTCTCTACAATACTCCTCAGCAGTTGTTTAAGAAAGTAAAGAATATGTGTCAGAGACCATACCTTGCTAAACATTATAGACACAAAATGTCTTTCAATTCCAGTCTATATCAATGGAAATACCTTAAACCACTGTATAGTTCATTATTTAGTTAATGACCATAATTCCATGAATTGAACTGAAATAGTAATAATGACTGAGTGTAGCCAATAATGATGAATAGGATTCCCAGATAGTTTACTTTAGCAAGTGAACAATAGCTCAATAGTATATGCATGAATAGCATCATGTGATGATCCTTTACAACTTGCTGCTTATAAACACCCCCGGCCCCATCCGTCATTAGCACTCAACCTAAGTTAAACCATAAACATGGTTAAACTGTCTGCTGTAGAAATGTCTCCCAGCAGTATACTCAATGTGTTTGTACTGGTCACACTAGCCCTTGCATTGGGACTGAGTGGAGCAGCTTTAGGACTCTTTGCTCATAATAATATCCTTGGATTCTGTGTCCTTGCACTTGATGACAATAGTCAGATTGGTAACCAGAAGCTGTGTAATGCCAGTCTTGCTGGATACATTATAGCCA